TCACAAAAATGTGAGTCAAAACCATACTCAGGTACCATATAATTCCACTTAGAATGAATATTACAAAAGACAAAAATCGAAGTTGTTGAAGGCAATGGCTGGTGTAGACTTGCAGAAAGGAAAACTCTCGTACCCTCTTTGTGGGAATGTAAATTAGAATACATGCTATGCAAAACCGTTGGAGGCTCCTTATGAAAGTAAAAGGTCAAAGTACAACTGCCACTTCAGGTAGCAATCCCACCACTGGGTACACACTTAGAGAAAACGAAATCCCTGTGTTGAAGAGGTGTCTGCCTCCCCATGTGTCTTGAAGCACTAGTCACAATAGCCAAGATATGGAATCAATCGACCTGTCCATCCACAGATGAAGGGATAAAGAAACTGCAGTATATATACACGATGGAACACACTTCAGTCATATCACTTCAGGAAATCACATGATCTTAAGTCATGTGGAGAAACCTGAAGACAATTAGGTGAAATGAGCCTGCTAGAGAGAGACCCACACTGTGTGACATTGGGCAAATGGAATCCAAAAAACTGTCTCCTAGAGGCAGAACTTTCAAGAGGGGTTACTAGAGGCTGGAGAAAGGAGGGGGCATGGGCAGGGCTTAGTAATGGGTACAGAGTGACACTCAGAGGAGAGGAATCCACTGTGGTGTTCTATTCCACAGCAGGGTGAACACGGTCAACAATGTCTAAGGGAATTTTTCAAAATCAGCTGGAAAGGATGGTTCTGAATGTCCTCTCCACAGAGAAACAGTAACCATGGAAGGTCACAGACATGCCAGATACTGTGATTTGATCATGACACTGTGTATACATATATCAAAATGTCCCTTACACTCTCTGGTTATAGACATATACTCTACAGCAATGAAACTGCCATCAAATGTTGGTAGTACTCATTCTAACTGGAGTGAGACAGAACCTGAGTGTGGTTTTCATTTACGTTTTTGTGTGCAGTAGCCACGTGGAGAATCTTCTACCTGTACATCAACCTCATGTTTTCAGGTCCTCTGTCCAGTTTTACGCATCAAATTAAAAACAAATTCACAAGAACTTGGCAAATATAACTAATCATATACACATACACAAAATCAAAACCACCACTCAGATTCCATCTCACTCTAGATGGAATGCATACCACACAAAAAAAAGTTGAAACATATTAAAAGACAAAAAATGATGGCATAGATTTCCACAGAGGGGGAACTTGTCTTCGCAATTCGTGGGAACATAAGCTAGTATCCACACTAAAGAAACCACTTGGAGGTTCCTCCGGACCTTACAACTACAACTATCATTTCATCCAGCAATTCTACTACTAGGCACATATACAGAGTACATGAAATCAAGCCACGGAAGAGATCATCTGCGTTCCCAGGTGGAATCCAGCTCTATGCAGAATAGCCAAGATAAGAAATCAGCCTACCTGTCCATCTGCAGATGAAGGGATAAAGAAACTGTCCCATGCGTAGACACTGGAATCCTCTTCAACCAGAAAAATGCAATGAAATCCCATCATGGGAGCTAATGGTTGCACCTGGAGGACATGATGGTAAATGAAATGAGCCAGGCAGAGACAGACAACCTTTGCATCCTCTCACTCATGCAGAAGCTGAGAAACTTTACCTGAAAGACCTAGAAGGCATAATCATGGTTACTAGAGGTTAGGGGGAAGTAGGGGAATGGGCAGGAATTGGAAATGGGTACAAAGTTCCACACAGATGAGAGGAAGAAAATCCTGTTCTTCTATTCCACAGCAGGGTGACCAGGGTTAACAGTATCATTGCATCTTTAAAACAGCCTGAAGAAGGGTATGGAAGCTTCTTGCCACAAAAGAATAAACAATGGTATGAAATAACAGAGACCCTAAATACCCTGATTTCATCATTCTACAATCTATGTAAAGACCAAAACATTGCACTCTACCCTCTCAATTGTATTCCTTTACTATTTGTCAAATTTGTTTAAATAAATATAAATACGGGATGCTAAAATTCACATAGGGACCATGAAACACCCTGAATTTCTTCCAGAGCAATCCTAAGACATCCAGACTACATCAGATGCATCTCATCCACTGATTTCAAATTTCATGGAAAAACTGGGGACCTGCTTCCATACATAACAGTGGAACACAAGAGTGGACCCAAAAGTAAACCCACACACCAAAAACCATCTGATCCTCAACAGAATCCACAATAAGCAAGGGGGAAAGGATGCCCTATTCAATCAATGGTGCTGGGATAAGTGGCTAGCCATGGGCAAAAGAGTCACACTGGGCTCCTACCTCTACCAGACACAAAAACTCCAGATGAATAAAATATTTAAATGGAAGACCTCAAACTATTAAAATCCTTCAAGAGAACATACAAAACACCTTTCTCCACATAGGCTTTAGCGAAGAATCTATTTGGCTATGTCCCCAAAGGAAATCACAACAAAAATTGGACAAGTCAGGCTCAATACTCTAAAGAGCTGCTACCCAGCAAAATAAATTGGCAACAGAGTAAACACACAGCCTACAGAGTGGGAGAACATGTGCCCAAACTGCATCTGACCAAGGTCTAATATCCAGAAACTTCAGGGACCTTATGCCAATCATTCAGCCAAAAACAACAAAAAATCCCATTAATATATGGGCAAGGGATGAGAACACTTACTTCTCAAAGGACAATGTGCAAGTGACCAACAATGAGGAAAGAATGCTCAAACTCACTCAACAACAGAGAAATGCTAATCAAAAGCAGGTCGAGACACCACCCACACCACCCAGAATGGCGATGACTATGCAGACAAACAGAACAGATACTGATGAGGCAGCTGAGGAACGGAAATGCTGATATGGTCTTGGTGGGGAGGCAAACTAGTACAGACACTGTGGAAAGCAGTTTGGAGATTTCTCAAGGAACTAAGAACTACCATCCAACCCAGCAATCCCACTCCTGAGGATCTACCCAAAGAAAATATATCCTTCTATCCAAAAGACACAGGCACTTGTATGTTCACAGGCAACATCATTCACAATGGCAAAGAAATGGAAATCAACCTAGGTGCCGTATATACCATAAAACACTACACAACCACACACACACACACACACACAAATCACTTTTTTTTTTTTTTTTTGAGACGGAGTTTCCCTCTTGTTACCCAGGCTGGAGTGCAATGGCGCGATCTCGGCTCACCGCAACCTCCGCCTCCTGGGTTCAGGCAATTCTCCTGCCTCAGCCTCCTGAGTAGCTGGGATTACAGGCACGCGCCACCATGCCCAGCTAATTTTTTGTATTTTTGGTAGAGACGGGGTTTCACCATGTTGACCAGGATGGTCTCGATCTCTTGACCTCATGATCCACCCGCCTCGGCCTCCCAAAGTGCTGAGATTACAGGCTTGAGCCACCGCGCCCGGCCACAAAAATCACTTTTTTGGCAGCAACATGGATGGAGCTACAGGTCATTATCCTAAGTGAACTAAGGCTAGAACAGAAATCCAAATGCCACACATTCTCACTTATAAGTGGGAACTAAGCTACGAATGTACCTGATCATAAAGAAGGGAACACCACCACCACCAGACCAAACAGAATATGCAAATGGGAGGGAGGGGGTGTTGCATCCTGAAGACACATCTTGTGCATCCTCTGGGTCACGGGGTGGTTGGGACCCCCAAGCCTCAGTATCATACAATCAACAGATGTAACTAACCTGTGTGTTTACCCTTTAATCTATAATTAAAGTAGAAATTATTACACACACACACACATACACACACAAAGAAGCTTAAGAGCTACATAAACAAGCAAACAAACAAACAAAATATATATATATATATATATATATATGTATATATATATGAAAAACCTATAGTTATCTAAACAATCCCTTACTGGCAACACACAGAAAGACTAACTTACGGATGAAATGAGAAAGCCAAAAACAGCCCAAAATTTCATATGGTGCATGCATTTTTCAAGAGAACACCAAATATCACAACGGTGAAGAGAAAAGTCTGTTGTGTAACTGTCTTTGAGTAAAATGAATTTCTATCTGCAAAACATTGAAAAGGGGCCTCACGTTACACAAGACACAAAAATCAATGTAAAGTACGTTAAAGATCTCCAACCAAACCCGAAAACGCACCATTCCTAGAAGAAAACATAGGGTGAGCGTTGACTTCAGGGAAACTTGGATCTATGCACACAGATCGCCAAGGGAAAGAAAACAAAAGGGCGAAGCAGGAGAAGAAAACCCACAGACGATGCCATCTTTTTCCCTTTTTTGTGATGCGACACCAAAACCACCACATACACATGCGAAGGTAAACATGCGGGACTATAGAAACCTTTAGGCTTCGTTCACGGGAATGAAACCAATGAACTGCAAGAGATTTCCTACAGACTTGGAGACAGATTTGAAAAACTGTGACTCTGAGCGCGGTTGTCATCTCACATGTCCAAGAAACTAGTATCACTGTGTTCGGGGGGGAAAGAAAAGACAAAACAAAAACAACAACAACAAAAAAAAACAACAAAAAACCGCACAACACTCATGCTGAAGCTGAAACTGGGCAAAGGCCCTTAACAGACATTTCTGAAACGATGACACGAATTGACCAACGAGTCAAAAAGAAGTTGCTCAGCTTTATCATTTCTCCCACAAAGGTAAGTCCAAACCGCAGATCCTCTGGGATCCTGGAGAATGTGAATTCTGACTCAGTAGGTCTGGAGTGAGCCTGCGATTCTGCATTTCTAAAAGGTTCCTCCCCACCCACATCCACATACGTGTATTAATCACCAAGTTAATACGAATGGTCAAAAATAAAAGGGGAAGCCATTAGGAGACAACCTCCGTCTTCCTCCTCCACCGCACAGGTTAAAGGATGGTCCCGGCATCTTGATCCTCCAGGTCGCCGACACCATCTCCAAAACTCATGCCAGGAATGTCCTTCCCTCTTCTCCTTCCTTCAGGCCATAATGGGTGTCTGTTTTTTCCAGCATCTTTCTCCCAACCTGTCCTGATTCAGCCACCCTCTGTATCTGCCTCCCTGGGACAAACGGTCAAACTCACCTGCGCCCCGAGCAGAAGCTACAGCAGCTGCCACGTAGACTGTCCCCAGCAGAGCTCAGCGATGGGCACCAGGTTTACACCACCAGTGGGCAGTGGTGCTGCTATTGCATCCCATGGGGATGGAGTGGTTGTCCAGACACAGACAGACAATCACACAGACAGACAAATGCACACGCTGAAATTTAACCAAGACAGAATTACGGACACATGGGGGAACGGAGGCCACGATTGCAGAAACGAGTGCCTCAATAATTAGAGAACTGGAGCCATCTCTGCCATGGCCAGGATTCCTCTCTCCTTCACCTTCCTCAGTCATCAGCTAGATTCCATTAGGGTGTACGCAAAGGATGCTGGGGCCTGCTACTCACTCCCAAAAAACAGCAGCAAGCATTTTCCTGGGCAGAAAAAAAATGCTCACAAGGATGGGGTTAGATTTAGCCATAAACCAGATTGTGTGGCAGGAGGGAGTTACTACTTTGGCTGGTACCAGCAGGCCATCCCCCTTTGATCACTCAGAAATTGGGGGAGCTAATCTGGGAAAAGGCACCAACGCCCGTTCATCAGTGTCTCAGTCCTATGGGGTCATGTGTCTGTGTGAGGTCTCAGCAGCTGCCTCTCTCAATGTCTCCCCAGGAGACAGCAGGGTGAACCCTGGGGCAGGAAGAGGGGACGCTGATTTGCATAAAGAACTTTTTTATTCTGTTGGTTCTGGGGAGACATGAAAAGGCTCTGAGGAAAACAAACCCCAGCTGAGGAGCCTGAAGACACTTAGCCTTCGTGAGTGTCCCCATCACGGCCTGGATGATGCTTCTCCTCCGACTACTTGCTTATGGCTCAGGTCAGGGGAAGGGACTCTATCCTTGCCGGAACCACATAAAACAGCGTCCAGGTTACTCTCATCCTTATGATAACAACTGTGTCTCTCCTGTTTGTTTTAGGGGTGGATTCTCAGACTGCGGTGGATTCTCAGACTGTGGATTCTCAGGCTCCTGGTGACCCAGGAGCCATTGTACTCAGTGTCCCCTGGAGGGACAGTCACACTCATTTGTGGCCTGAGCTCTGGCTCAGTCTCTACTAGTCACTACCCGAGCTGGTACCAGCAGACTCCAGGCCAGGCTCCACGAATGCTCATCTACAGCACAAACACTCACCCTTCTGGGGTCCCTGATCGCTTCTCTGGCACCATCCTTGGGAACAAAGCTGCCTTCACCATCACAGGGGCTCAGGCAGATGATGAATCTGATTATTACTGTATGCTATACATGGGTAGTGGCATTTCCAACATCTGAGGAAGTGCAACTAAAACCTCTTTATATACTCAGAACAGTTCAGCCCTTAGAGTCAGGAGGGAAATGGAGAGGGAAATGGTCAACGCCGTGAGTGAGGTGTCCCCCTGCCCCAATCTCTTATGCAGGGGTTCACTGCCAAGTGCCTAATCCAGTCTCTCCAGATGTGTCCACCTCCCCAGTGTGACTCTTCATGGCTGTGCTTCCTCTCTCCCTCTCTACTTAGAATAATATGGAGGCAGAATTATCTACAAAATATATAAGCTTACAGTGAGTTACAGAGGCCCCAGTGCTCCAGCAAGACACTTCTTATTCAAAGAAAATTAACAGGTACATACTCATTCATTAATTTGACCATGGAGGCTGACTTAATATTTTATTTATCAGTGAAGTGGAAGCATTTTCAGGGGGCTTGTTAAAAAATGCAATTCTCGGTTGGGTGCAGTGGCTCACACTTGTAATCCCAGCACTTTGGGAGGCTGAGGCGAGTGGATCACGAGGTCAGGAAATGGAGACCATCCTGGCCAACATGGTGAAACCCCATCTCTACTAAACATTAAAAAATTAGCTGGACGTGGTGGCGCACATCTCTAATCTCAGCTACTTGAGAGGCTGAGGCAGGAGAATCCCTTGAACCGGGGAGTCAAGAGGTTGCAGTGAGCTGAGATCGCGCCACTGTACTCCAGCCTGAAGTCAGAGTGAGACTCTGTCTCAAAAAAAAAAAAAAAAGCAATTCTCCAACCTAAACCTATTAAGTCAGAAACGTGTGCTGGTGCCAGATAGGCAGTATTTAACAAGCTGTACATGAGATTTTTATTAACGTTAATGTTTGGGAAGAACCTACTTTTATTATTATAAAATTATTCCTAGGGATCTCTGTTTAAAACAATCTCAGGTAATATTCCATGATCTACTCTCCTAAATTCCCATTCAAACCCCGCCCCCATCAAATACTCAGAAACAGATTTAACATCTCAAGCCATAGCAAAAATTATAACTTGTTTTATGCAGAGTTGGGAGGAATTTTTAAAAGCATACATTCTTAGGTGCCAGGTGTGGTGACTCATGCCTATAATCCCAATACTTTGGGAGGCTAAGACAAGAGGATTGCTTGAAGCCAGGAGTTTGAGACCAGTGTCTTCCACATAGCAAGACTCTATCACCATGAAAGAAATAAAAAAAGATATAAGTACCTTTAGGAATTTCAAAAACCTGTTACCTTAAGGTATATTTAGTGGTGCATATGAATATCTATTATTGAAAACCATCCCATGGAGGACTAGCTTCCAGAATCCCTTCTCCCTCCCACTGAGCTCACCTACCTATGGCTCTGGCTTTCAGGGTCTTTGTAGGACACAGGGCTCAGCCTTTCCCATCCTCCACCTCTTACCACAGATTGGTCCACAGGATCACGGTTCCACTGAGATCCTCTCAGCATAGATATGTACTTGTTCTGAACAGTTTCTCTTAACATAATGCTGGCAAGACGGGAAGGACTGAGGGGTGATGGGGCCTTGGAGCCGCCCTAAGATGGCAGTGACCTCACTGCTGAGCTTTGCTGGGCCAGACTCAGCCTCCTACCCTCCTCCCTTCCTCTGACATTTTCTCCTGGCAACCAGGGGTCCAGGAGCTTCCTCCAGTCAATCTGGACGTTGGGGTCACCTCAGAGAACCTCTCAATAAGACAGAGGAGGTGCTTCAGGGGATCTAACACAAGTAAAGGCAGATTTTAAGACTGTCAATTCACAGAAAACCCTGTGAAAAGAAACAAACCAGCCCTACTTGTGTCTGTACACCTCAGGACTGTTTTCCTGATCTCCTGGCTGTGTCAAGATTGCAAATATGCGGTTTATTATCCAGATAAAGAGAAACCCATGACAGTTTGTGAAGACAAAGACAACAACTACCCTATCTACTTGTCACACAATTAAGACACTGGCCTTAGATCTGTCAGTGCCCTGAAACATTCTAGAAGAAGACCTGAGTGGCAGAGCAAAACTCCATCACACACACACACACACACACACACACACACACACACACCCCTTCTTACTTATCAATCCTGGTTCAAAGCAAGCAGACGGATGAAAATAAATATAAGAACATAAATCAATGGAAATTGAGACCAGGCACAGTGGCTCACACCTATAATCCGAGCACTTTGGGAGGCCAAGGTGGGTGGATCACTTAAGGTCAGGAGTTCGAGACCAGTCTGGCCAACGTGGTGAAACCCTGTCTCTACTAAAAATACAAAAATTAGCTGGATGTGGTGGTGCATGCCTGTAATCCCAGCTACTTAGGAGGCTGAGGCAAGAGAATTGCTTGAACTTGGGAGGCAGAGGTTGCAGTGAGCCAAGATTGTGCCACTGCACTCCAGCTTGGAGGACAGAGTGAGACTGCATCTCAAAAAGAAAACTGAAAGCAGAAAAGATTGGAAAAATTAAACTAAAAGGTAGCTCTAAAAGAGCAATAAAATTGACAAACTTCTAGGATGACTGACAAAGGGAAAAAGAGTGAAGAAAAAATTAATAGGAGTTATCAGTACAGATCATGCAGACATCAAGAAGATAAGGAAATACTACAAACAGCTGTACAAACATAATTTAACATCTGAGATGAAATGGACCAATTCCTCAAAACAAAACAAAACAAAACAAAACAAACTACCACTTCCCATCTATTATAAAATAGATAATCCAATTATATAACCATTAAAGACATTGGATTTGTAGTTAAATAATTCTTGAAATAGAAATCTCCAGCTCCAGATGGTTTCACTGGATAATTCTACCAATTGCTCAGATAATTAACACCAATTCTAATAATCTCTTCCAGAGAACAGAAAACAAATTACTTCCAAATTTATTTTAAAGTTAAGAAAAATAGTACATGCTGGGCGTGGTGGCACACACCTGTAATCCCAGCAGTTTGGGAGGCCGAGGTGGGCAGACCGCTTGAGTTGAGGAGACCAACCTGGGCAACATGGTGAAATAATGTCTGTACAAAAAATACAAAAATCATCCAGGCATGGTGGCATGCACTTGTAGTCCCAGCTACTTGAGAAGCTAAAGTGGGAAGATTGCTTAGAGCTAGGAGGCAGAGGCTTCAGTGAGCTGAGATCATGCCTCCATTCTCCATACTGGTGACAGAGTGAGACTCTGTCTAAAACAAAAAGAAGAAGAAATAAGAAGAAGGAGGAGGAGGAGGAGGAGGAAAAGGAAAACAATACAAAGAAAGAAAACTACAGACCATCATGAGTCATGAATATATGTGTAAAAATTCTTAGTCAGATAATATAAATGGAATTCAGCAATACATAAAAAGTATTATACACCATTACTAAGTGCAGTTTATCCCAGGAATGTAAGCCTGGTTCCGTGTTCAAATATCAATCAATCAATGTGGTTCACCATATTAACAAGCTAAGTAAGAAAAATCACGAGATTATCAATTGAATTCTGCAGAAAAGACATTTGACAAAGTCCAACACCCATTGACGATAAAAGCTATCAGAAAACTTAGAGAGGAATGTCTTCAACTGAATAAAAAATATCTCCAAAAACCCCTGTGGCTATCATTCTATTTAATAAAGACTGAATGGTTTGTCTCTAAGATCAACAACAAGACACTCATCACCACTATTCAACAAAACACGGCAAGTTCCAGCCAGAGCAATAAGGAATAAGAAATAAAAGGTACAACAGCCAAGATTTAGAATCAACCTATGAACAGACAAATGGATAAAGAAAATGTGTTACATATACACGATGAAGTACTATTCAGCTACAAAAAAAGAATGAAATCTAGTCATTTGCAGCAACATGGATGAAACTGGAGAACATTGTTAAGTGAAATAAGGCAGGCATGGAAAGACAAACTTCACATGTTCTCACTCATATGCAGGAGCTAAAACTTTAAATAAGTGAACTCACGGAGAGTAGAATGGTGGTTACCAGAGGTTGGGAAGAGTAGTAGCATTGGGGTTGGGGGGAGTGGGAATGGTTAATGGGTACAAAAATGTAGTTAGAATGAATAAGATCTAGTATTTGGTAGTGCGACACAGTGACCACAGTCAATAATAGTTTATTGTACATTGAAAAATAACTAAAAGAGTGTAACTGAAATGTTTGTAACACAAATGATAAATGCTTGAGGTGATGATGGATATCCCATTTACTCTGATGTAATTATTACACATTGAGTGCCTATATCAACATAAATATATGGACCCCATAAATATATACATCTTCTATGTTCTCATAAAAATTAAAAATAATTAAATTTTAAAAATAATTAAAAGGCATACCAATCAGAAAAGTGGAAAAAATTGTCCCTATTTACAGATGACATGATTGACTACATGAAAAGTCCAACAAACAACTCCTAAAAGTATTAAGTGAATTTAGCAAGGTTGCAGAGTACATCAACATATAAAAATTAATTGTATTTCTATATGCTAGCAATAACATGTGGACACTGAAATTAAAATATAATACTATTTGTAATTGCTCCACAAAAATACTTTGGTTTGAATCTGACAATACAGGTGCAGAACTTATATGATGAAAACTAGACAGTGCTAATGGAAGACATCAAAGAAGATAGAAATAAATGGAGAGGCACAGCATGTTCATGGATTAGAAGACTCCATTGTAAGGACACCAGTTTTCCCCAAATGGGACACAGTTTTAACATTATTGCTATCAAAATCCAGGCAAGTTTGTTGTTGTTGTAGATGCAGACAAGCTTATATTAACATTTGTTTGGAAACATACACACCCTAGAAATACCCAGAAAGTTTTGAAACAGTTCCACTGGATCTTTCACTGTCTTTGTAGTTTTATCTTTTATAGAATGCCACTGAGGCAGGGCACAGTGACTCACACCTGCAATCACGGCACTTTGAGAGGCCGAGGTTTTCGCAGTTTTGAATAAAGCTGCTATGAACATTCATGTGTAGGTTTTTGTGTGTATATAAGTTTTTAACTAATTTTGGTATATACCTAGGAGTGAAATGGCTGGGCCATATGGTAAGAATATGTTTAGCTTCGGCCGGGCGCGGTGGCTCAAGCCTGTAATCCCAGCACTTTGGGAGGCCGAGGCGGGTGGATCACGAGGTCAAGAGATCAAGACCATCCTGGTCAACGTGGT